GTGCCTTTGGTGGAATGAGCGAAATAATGACATTTATGAAATAACGACATTAGATCATCAATAAATTGTCTGAATTCATCTTAAGGGATACTGTTTACACAACTTTAACAAAAGATTGACATTTTTGATTGTTTGAACAATCAGTACTTGTCTGACACTGATTATCACTCACATTCATTTGAGGCACTATCAGAGTACTGTATTTACATATGCAAGGTATATAAATGAGTTATTCTCAGATCATTACAGACACGATATATGTATCAAACTAATCTCATCACAATATCTTGTACAAACACTAACACAATAACAAGCTACAACATACTACAACAAATTTCTGCTACAAGTATTCCAGTCATTAAAATATCCAAATTCTAAGCTCAACAGTTTCGATAAAGATTCTTAAAAATATGCTCAGAGTTAACAACATCTAACACAAACCAATATAAGAGGCTAAAGCGGGTTGTACAAAATTTACCAAAGCTGACCAGTGCATGGTATTTAGTGCCTTGGTGAGTCTCTTGAAAGGTGAATGAAATTTGTTTCTGCAGCTTTATTTTGCATGCTACAGGAAAAGTCTGTTACTAGACAGGGGCGGATACAGCTTTTAGAGAAAAGGGGTGCACACTATTGAGAAAAGGAGGGGTGCACACTTCAATTTCACCAGAGTTTCAATGGTCATTTAACAAACTTTCAGAACAAAAAAAAAGAAAAAAGGGTGGGTGGTGGTGGTGGTGCGCACCCCCCCTCTGGATCCGCCTATGCTAGACAGTGGTAACTGTGGTGTTACAATGAAATTTGGGGTTGTTCACTGTTCCAGTATACTGCAAACAACTAAAAAAATAAAATAAAACACCATAAAAACTGCAAGAATTTCTTTTCTGCAGATTAGGAAAACAAGTAGTTTTATTAGTTGTATCAATTAATCTCAAATTGTCAAAGAAATTCGTTTTCAAATGTTTCCCTTTGAAATTGCTTGACAATGTGATTTTGCTCTAACATTGTTACCTCCCCTGTTTCTATGGCTACAAAATGGCAGCAACTGACCATGCTGAATTTGTGTCTTACTTCAGCACTGGAAAATCGATCAGAATGTACACTTACTTTCAATAACTGTCAAGGACCTCACCATAATACTTTGCAATACATGTTTTTCACCAATACAAAGCCCTTCAGCAAATGATCTCATTAGATCCAGTGATTATCAAGAACAGCCATATTTGAACTTCTACTGAAATCTGTAGATTAACTTGTCTTGTTAACTCTCAAGTGGCTTTGGTACCCTGCACTGGCCAGCAAGGGTTAATCTCTTTTTCAGTTGTAACTAGGGTACCTTTCAAAACAAAGAATGGTACCTTGGGTGGTACCCAAAACAAAGAATCCTTCAGCAAATGTGATGATAGCACTAACATTCTACTAACTGGATGACAAGACGAAGCGTGATGAAGGACGTCCACTTCAGGACTTCCCTACGACATGTGAAGATACAAACACAAATACAGAAAACCAGGATCATGTGAATATTAGTTACCATGGTTACATGTTTGCATATTATGATGAGTGGTAATCTCAAGTGTTAAAAACTTAAAGCGAGAAAGCACTAATAATCACAAACCCTGGAAATGGAACCAACTCCAAGACTCATAAGTCAATGTCAGCTGCAGCATCAACTCTTGCCTCAGGAACTATTCGTCAGTGAGTGAGTGAGTGGTTGAGTGTGAGTGAGCGAGCGCAGCATTTGTCATTTTCAGGACCTGTTTTCAAGCATGGATTGTGCTACACAAACTACCCACATGGCTAGGAAGGATAACAACATATGGCTGAACCCGGAGAACGGAAGGTTCGGGTTCGATCCCCGGCCGTGTCATACCAAAAGACGTTAAAATATGGTACTTGTTGGTCCCTGTCTGGCGCTCGGCATTAATGGGTACAAGGACTGGTGGGCTCGGAGTCAGTATAATGTGTCTGAGTGGGGTATTCATGCTTCACTGCGGCATGGTATCTCAGTGGGCTAGCACTATCAAACCAGCTTAAGTCTGGGCTAGTATAAGCAGACGAACATACACATACACACGCATGCACGTCGTCATATGAGCGAAATATTCTCAAGCACGACGTTTAACTAAATTTCACCTCACATCTTTTTTACAGTGTATTACTTTATTTCGGGATAGGTTCTAACACCATTATCAAGCACGTGATCACTTTTTATTACATTTATAGGTTACAGACAGAAGTTGTTCATCGTATCATTCCTTACTGCTGTGTAGGTTCTATTACACAGAGAGCGACGTTTCTGTGTAGGTTCTTACACCGTTTTCAATGTGTTAGAACCTAGTCCGAAACATTGCTCTCTCTGTAATAAAGAAGTTGTTCATCCATATATTGTTATCATTCCTTACTGCTCCAACTTATATACGCCTCTCAAAGATGTTACCCACAAGATTCTAGCACTATCTGTTTCATCAATACAACGGGTGGATTAAAAGAACCAAGTGGTGCTAAATTGATTCAAACATTGCTTGTAATGTATTGGTTCAGAGAAAATTGTTCAAAATCAGGAAATATATTCATTGTAGAAAACACTTCCTGTTATGAAGTGTCATGAATGAAAAACAAATAAAATACAGCTCCCCATAGAAGAGCATGTAAGTGAGTGAATTAATTGAAGCACCTTGGTAGTTTGAATGATGAAAAGTCAGTCTCAATGATCTTTGATCAGTGTTTGTTTAACACCACACTCAGCAATGATCCAGCTATATGGCAGTGGTCTGTAAATAGGACCAGACAATCCAGTGATTAACAGCACTTTGATATGTAATATATGCTATTTGAAAGAAAACAGAGAACACCAAGCTCTTTCATATTACTATGGTCATCCTGGCATGGCATTTATACCATAACAACAGGACGCCCATGACGATCCCAGTTAGAATTGATCTTCAGTAACCCATGCTTGTCATAAGAAGTGACTAACGGATTGGGTAGTCAGACTCGCTGACTTGGTTTACACAGTGACGGTATCTCAATTGGGCAATTCGATGCTCAAGCTGTTGATCACTTGATTGTCTGTTCCGGACTTTATTATTTACAGAACATCAACATATAGATGGAATATTGCTGAGTGTCTTCAAACAACAAACAAAGCAAGTAATAGGAAATTGCTGGGTGTTTTAGAAGTCCTTTGAGACATACAAAAAAATCCTGAAATGATAAAGTTAATGTTGCAGCATAAACTTCCCCAATGCTAACTTGGGCTCATCAAACATGAGATATGCAGCCTTATCTTACCTTACACATAAATGTCGCTTTCTGATTGGCTGAGCACTCAATTATTTTCAATGTACCCTGGTTATAAGCGAGTCACTCATTTGGTACTTCATGGTAGTAATTCTTTATCTCAAATAACATTGAATCAGGTATGATGTACGGAAATTACCGATGTTTTGCGAATGCAAATCGATGGAAGGCAGATAACTCTAATTCTGTTTTTCTTGTCAGCAAAATCTAGTGATGGCTACAAAAAGATTTGTACCCGTGCTTCAAACAATTTAAAATTAACATTAAGGTGTTCGGTAAGATAAATACGTTGTTCACTGGTCCCTCGGGGCCCTTCGGGCTCAGGGAACATAAACAAACATCGAGGGTACATCAACCCATGCCCCCCTCGTGACCAGTGAACAACTTATAATGCCCACCTGCCCAATATCTAACATCCAACAAGCTGTCTTCACGGAGTGACATGACCTTTTCAGCAATATTTCTGTGTAACAACCACCTGTATATCAAACTTGGGAAGTTGAAAATGTACCATATACATAAAACATATATTTAGCGTGACATTTTGGAATTGTTAAAACTAAAAATAATTTGCAAGAAACTATTAATCTGGGCCTCCTTTCACAAAGTACTAAGGTGATCGTAAGTCACTTAAATAGTAACCTTAGTGCAGCGTTAAAGATGGGGAGTTAAGGTTAACCTTCATAAAGGTTGCTTCATGAAAGGAGTCAGTGAACTCTACACTGACATTGTAGATGCTGATGTACTTCCACTGTATCAAACAAACTCCATAAGTTTCAAACATACTGACTAGCTGTTGTTTTTGTCTATTCAAATATTGTTATTATGTATTTAAATGTTTAATCTGGCTAAAATGATGTGGAATGGGTACTCTCTGATAGTCATCGATACATGTCAAACACTATGTCAAATACGGTAGTCAAAGTTTCGGTTATCAGGTCCAACTCACGCTTTGTTTTCCTAAAAATATCACACAACAATGAGTTAATGAGATGCTACCATTATAAAACTGTAAAAACCTTTTGTTCAAATATAAACAACCATAATCAAATATACTCTCAAGTAATCACCATCTGAAAACCAGAAGTCAAGACAAAATGTTCATGATCATTATTATACAAGGACTGGCCATCATAATAACAGACCTCATGAATAACACTCTACCTCCACAAATATGCTGTTTCTTGTGTCAGTTGTGTCTGTTCTTGGCAGAAACTGAAAGACACTATTTTCTGGAGACGTGTGTTTACATATTCCAAAGTCATCATATGAGGAATTTGACAAATTTGAAATTCAACCAATCAATGTTCTCTCATTACTTTGTATGATGATGTAAATCAGGTGGCCATTTTGTTCAATTCTTGTTCATGAACTTGATAAAGTCCAGTACATCTACAAGTCACTTGCCATTAAACAACTTCTTTGAGAGAAGTTCTAAAATATATTTTTTGAACCCAGTACAATTGTTCAGCAGTGTAAGGTTATAAACTCCCATGTCCATGACCGACCTTCACACAATCCTGCCATATACTGCTCAAAACAAGTTAAGGATAGCCCATAACTCAGGTGTCTTAACATCTTATAACCAGCAAACATCTTATTACCAGGGATGGCAACAGGAAAATCTATTTTCAGCTAAAAAATTAATATTGTGTCATTGAGTTGGGGGTTTCTGAATGGATTTAGACGATTCACAATTGAACAATTTGAAATAAAATCAGCGGAAATCCACGGATCAGCGGAAAATTGCCATCCCTGTATTACACTGTCACAAAAATATTTAAAACATGAAACAAAATATATGCCGACTTGGCAACCACATGTGATCAGAAACCATAGAATGAAACATAATAAAGATATAATTTTATTATATGGTTTCTGGTGTGAGGAAGATTTCAATATTAAACATAGGGAGATGACCATTGATAAAAGTCACAGAATAAGGCCTTCAACATAATAAAAGTCACATAATAAACAATCCTAAAGGCAGGGGCAAAAAGTAATGTCGTTTTCCCCATGCATGAAGACCTTTCGTCTTCCCTAGATGGTAGTCACTCTCCATGCTGCAGCTATCGACATTCATCACTTCTGACCTTCGCAAAGACAACCATTTGTTTTTCATGATTACAGCAGTACTAAAATTAAACATTTCTTTCATACAATTATCTGACATGTTCACACTTGAGACGAGCTGTTGGACGATATTGCTTGCATGACAATCTCAGGCTGAGGCATCTGTACCTCGATGTCTGGCGTTGTTACCGTGACTTCTGTCTGAGGGGGGTTGTAATACTCATTATTCAGACTCGCCTCTCGTAGGACCTGGCGAAAAAAAGAAGACGACTTCTTAAATGCTGAAAAATTTGATAACCAAGTTATTAGAATATGGGTTAATCTGCCAAGATTATACAAACTTCACATAAAATGATTTGTTTTCCACTGTCCTTTACAGAGAGATTGGTATTTCTTTTTTCAACTTGTAAATCACCATGTGCATATTCTGATGCCTTCTGAGTGTACACATGGTCATCATTTGCAAAACGTTTTGCACATGCACATTCAACAAATATCTATAAAAAAAACCAAAACAAGCCAGCACAAATGAAACAAAAAAGAGGACATTTGCTGTGACCTTGACCTAATATGAAGGTCACAAATGCCTTTTCTGATCTTGGCCTTGACCAATGGAATACATTTCTATTGACCGGCAGCAAATCCTTCTCAAGTTTGTCAACATACTTTTAGCACGTTTATGTGACCATTTCAATGATTTTGACAACAATGTGCTGACAATTTTCAATGGGTACTGACTGACTGACTGAGTTTAGTTTTACACCGCTTTTAGCAATATTCCAGCAACATCACAACAGGGGACACCAGAAATGGGCTTAACACATTGTGCCCATGTGGGGAATCGAACCCGGGTCTTCGGCGTGACGAGCCAATGCTTTAACCACTAGGCTACCCCACCGCCCTTTCAATGGGTAATAAAGTATACCTATGTAATATAATATTCCTAAAATGTTAAAGTTTTATAAGAAACGTATCACACATTCCATATTTAACGCTCTCTGACAAATTTCAGAAAGAATATGCAGGTAATCTTTTTTAGCAACTCTTACTGAAACAGTCAAATTAGACAGTCCACATTTTCTTGGGAATAGACTACTTAGAGAAAAAAGCACATTGGAAAGGGAATATTATTGCTTTGCAATAATTTTCAATTTTTTGAAAGCTTGATAAGCATTTGAAAAAGGTTTGTTCTCTATTGCTCAATATCTGACCAAAAAAAAATAACCTGATGCATTTTGTTAAAAAGCTATCTTCTTCCATAATTGTCTTTGAGCCCAAAGCAATTACTAAGGTGAGAAGGATACAGACTGAAATTCTAAAACCTCAAACACAAGCATTAACATGTCTTCTAATGCAAGATCACAGTATGGCTGAAATATTGCCAATGTGACGTTAAATATTAACTCACTATAATGGAAGACTTTGTTAAAGGAATGTCTGTTGATGATCAGGTGATACAAAATAAAACATTTAAATTTTGGGAGCGCAGGATTGGTGTTTTAAAACTCCATCTCAATATGCTGTTGCAAAATACACAGAATATGCAGTGGAATAAAAACATGCTGCTAAATCACTTTTTAAAGTTTCACTTCTGTTGTGGAATCCATCAGCCCACAAATATAACGCCTAAAGTTGGGGTTGTTTTCTTTGTAATGTGAAAGACAAAAATAGGATGGTCGTGACGACCTCAATATCATGCAACAAGGAAGTAAGTGTTTCTAGTGAATCAGCTTTTTGCTTAATCTGACAAAGGCGAGATCACTAGGTACAACATGCAGAAGGGTCAGGTTACAACAAGACCATCATTATTTTGTGGGCTTGTCACACTGTGCACTGTTTTGCATGATTGATGTACATTCTACAAGATTAGGGGCGGTAGGGAAGCCTAGTGGTTAAAGCGTTCACTCGTCAATCTGAAGACACTGGTTCAATTCCCCACATGGGTACAATTTCTGAAGCCCATTTCTGGTGGAATATTGCTTAAAGCTGTGTAAAACCATACTCACTGACTCTACAAGATTACAATTAACTTGGACAACCGGTGTGAAAACAGCTCAGAAATACATATATACAGAAGGTCAGATAACATTGTTTGTTCAATTTTACAATATTTACTTTAAGTAAATTTCAAATTTCTAGTACATTCCTGTGATGAAGGATAAAGTGCCCTTAAAGCAGTGTCTGAAACTTTGTACTCTTAATAACAAGGCAGGTGTGCTGGCTAGTTAGAAACGTTACCATGGTAACAAGCCTATAATGAAGGAGCAGGTAAATACAAGCTGGAGAATAAAATGTCATTCTTCTTGGATTTATTTCACTCCATGCCTTTAACAGTTACAGCTTGACAAAGGCAAGTGTCAATCTCATGTGACTTGAGATGAATGCTGAGACAAAATTGTCAGATCTGTGAAGATCCGGGTTAGAATTGGTCTTCAGCAAATGCTACTTGTTGTTAGTAAGTTTGGTTTTATGCTGCTTTTAGTAATATTCCAGCAATATCACAACAGGGGACACCAGAAATGGGCTTCACACATTGTATCCATGAGGGGAATTAAACCTGGGTCTTTGGTGTGACAAGCTAACGCTTTAACCACTAGGCTACCCAAACAGCCCCTGCTTGTTGCTAGAAACGACTAACAGGATCGGGTGGTCAGGCCCACAGACTTGGTTGTCAAATGTCATTGTATCCCAATTGTGTAGAATTATGTTCATTCTGTTGATCACTGGATTGTCTGGTCTAGACTCGATTATTTACAGACCACCGTCACAAACTGGAATATTGCTGAGTACGGCATTATATAACAAACAAACAAAACGTCAGGTGGAGTGAAATTGGGTTTAACGTCGTGCTTGAGAATATTTCGCTCATATGACGACGTGCATGCGTGTGCATGTGTATGTGCAGCTGCTTGTACTAGCCCAGACTTAAGCTGGTTTTATAGTGCTAGCCCACTGAGATACCATGCCGCAGTGAAGCATGAATATCCCACTCAGACACATTATACTGACTCCGAGCCCACCAGTCCTTGTTGTACCCATTAATGCCGAGAGCCAGGCAGAGACCAACAAGTACCAATATTAACGTCTTTGGGTATGACGCGGTCGGGGACTAAACCCGCCACCTTCTGCCCTCCGGGTGGATGCTCTCACCACTACACCACGGAGGCAGTCGAAAGCTATTTTAGACACTGAGTACAAGTGTTCTAGTATTCATGTATTGTGTCATGAAAGACTAAGTGAGTGAGTTGGGTTTGATGCTACTTTGAAAAGTGAGTGTGTGAGTTAGTTTTACGCTGCACTCAGCAATATTGAAGCTATTTGGCGTCAGTCTGTAAATAATCGAGTCTGGACCAGACAGTCCAGTGATCAACAGCATCAGCATCGACATGTGTCAACCAAGTCAGCGAGCCTGACTACCCTGATCCTGTTAGTTGTGTCATACGACAAGCAGGGGTTACTGAAGATCAATTCTAATCTGGATCGTCCACAGGTACTAATGTGAACAGTTTTCTTGTTGCATCATCATGATCATGGCACATCAGCTGAATATGTGAGTAATATGCTATGCAGGCCTCATATGTTTTATACTTTTAGTGAAACTCACAGCATGGTGCTGACAAACCAGAAAACATAACTGGGTGAACCAGGATTTGAACCCACAAGCACAGGTTTCTGGCATGCCCAAGGGACGCAACTCTGCACAGCAAAATGCTGCACATTAGACGTCTGGACCATCTATGACCTCATTTCATAATCATGAGTGAGTGAGAATGGTTTTACACTGCTTTTAGCAATATTCCAACAATATCAGAGCGGGGTCATAATCATGAATCATATCCCATGCAGAGGGGCGAGATAAATATTTTATCAAAGCAATGCTATATCCTTATACACCCCCTCAATAAACCTTGAAAGTGGAGCTCTCCCTTGTTGAGAGCACCAACATACTGTGTTTATATTGTACAACTGTGTTGACTGGAGACCTGAAGGTGTGTAACAAAACAAAGGGACATAACTCACCAAAATTAAGGTAAGTGAGTATGGTTTAATGTAGCTTTTAGCAATATTCCAGCAACATCACAGCAGGGGACACCAGAAACAGGCTTGACACACTGTACCCAAGTGGGGACTTTAACTCGAGTCTTTGAACTGACAAGCGAATGCTTTAACCACTAAACCACTCCACTGTCCCCATTAACTAAACTTTACAATGATGATGCAAGAGAAACAAATTCACAAAGAGTGACAACTTGGATAATTTTTCCAAATTCTTAAATAGTCTGTCTCAGAGGAGTTAGTGTACAATGACAGACAATGGGTGAGATATGAGGCCCATATAGAACTTCTGTCATATCAAGTACAGGCTTATTGGTAGGTGAAAAATAAGCATATATACATATAGCAGTCATTGATGACAGAAGGCAAACAAAAATAAGCAGTTATAAACACAAAGCACAAGATAAATGTGAGAAATTCATTGTGGCATAAGCACACCATATTTCATCTAATTGATGCTCCAAGACTGACTGAGTTTGGTTTTACGCCGCTTTTAGTAATATTCCAGCAACATCACGGTGGGGGACACCAGAAATGGGCTTCACACATTGTACCCATGTGGGGATTCGAACCCGGGTCTTCGACGTGACAAGCCAACGCTTTAACCACTAGGCTACCCAACCACCCCTGATGCTCCAAGAATATATGCTACATAGGATCAGACATCTTGCTATCAGTTGAAGACCCATTCATACGCTTTTGGAGTAACGAGAAACTTTTTATTGTATGCATTCTAAATGTGGGCAGTTAATACCTTAATACTTTTTCAACAGCATCTCTTGCAACTTTGTTTTTCACAAATTTGGTTTTGATGTGGCATCTCTTGATGTCCGAGCATCATTTTGAGGAAATATGGTGTTAGCATTGTTAGTGATACTAACCTACACCAGGTTCATTGTTCGCCATGATTTTCATTATCTACAAAACAAGCGGGCAATGTTAGCGGCTGACATGTTAAGGTCATATAAACTTCATCCCATCCCCCATCACCACCACCATCACCATACCCATTATCTCATCACCATCACACCAGACCTATCTGCTTCCTTGCTTTACAGAGTATTTTCTGACAAAGGTGATAAAAAAGGGTTTAAAAACCAACCGTGAAACGATTTACTGATGGGGTGCATTTCCTGAAAATTTTGTACGAAAAATGTAAAAATTAACTTTAGTTTCAGTGAAGATGTTTCAAATAAAACATGTTTTGAACTGAACAAAGCATTTTTAATAATACTTTTTGCCAAATTGTATCTAAAAAGCAAGAACACATACTGGTCTGGTGTCAGGCTAAAACATAAAAAAATTGGTTATGATGCGCTGATTTAAAAAAAAGTTCTGAAATATGGAATTTTTAAAGCCATTATGTTTTCGATTTTCCAACACAGTATGTTTATCTCTATTCTACCATAACCGTGTTATCAAGATTTAAACAAAATACATACTGTGTTGGAAAATCAGAGGTATATAACGTGTTTATATACTTCTGAATGACAATCCAGTATTTACTGAAGTCACGGTAGAATCTTTCGTCAATGAGCTTCTGACAAGTCCAAATTTTGGAACACAGATTTTTGACGATGTAAATCATGGCCAGAATGCCTCAAAAACAACTTTTAGCATTTTACAACTGTTAGCATTGTACATGTCCATGTTAGACATGGTTACATATAACAACACAAAACATATTAATAATATATTCTCAGGGAGATTGTTTTTCTCCAATTTCAGCGCCTACGAACCAAACGTTTCTTTATTACCTAAAACTAGTCCCATTTCATACATGTAAGATGGGTGCCAGTCATTTTATGACAACACCAAACCACATTCTAGATTTGGCACATCAAGGCCAGTGTCAGGGGTTCAAATTCTTTTTTAAAAAGCCACTTGCCACAGGGCAAGTGACTTTTAGGAAGGACCTTGTCCTGACTAATTTTCCACTTGCCCTGATTTTATGACATAATTATGATGATGTAATTATGAAAGAAGAATCAACATGGTATTTGATGTTAATGTTTACTGGACTATTTATTGAAAAGTGATAAATAGCAAAGAAAGATAACTCTACTTTATTATCATTGCAAAATTTAATAGCTACATTTTGAGCAGATATGAATTTAAATCCAAGTTTATTTGCAATTTGAAACCATAAGTGGAAATTATCTAGTAGCCCACGGACAAGTAAGATACCATTATTTGATTGCCCGAAATGAAAACTGTCTTGTGCCGGGCGTCGGGTGATGGGATTTTAGAACCCCTGAGTGTAAATAAATTTTTAGATGGTCTTTCATTATGTTCTATAGTTATGTTCAATTTCATTACGAGGAAGGTCTTGATAACCAAAGTGGTCATCTTTGCTCACACTACTCCAAACTGAGTCTGTCCAAATAAAACTATCAGTTAAGGTAAAATTTAATTTATACTGGCCTGCAGATCTTGCCATGTCTCTACAGGGCTCCAGGTAAAATCTAAATCTAAATCTATCATATTTAATGAAATAAATACATTATTCGTTAACTCTTTACACTAAATATGCTAACCCTGGTTTCAGAAACAGGAAAAATATCTTTCCACATGATTTATGTAATACTGAATGATGTTTTCCTAATGCTGACAACGTACTATATGCTAAGGATGCTTTGTGAAAACAATTTCAAGAAGCATGATAGGCTTGAGTTAAGATTACTTAGAGTCAATTGTAAGTGACTGGGAAATTGTTGGATTTTTCATGAATGAATCTCAAATTTAAATTGACCTTTGGTGACCTTCAACAAATGAGTCCCTGATTTCATGATCAAGTATCAAATTTCAATCATGAATGTTCAAGTTTTCATGCACACAAGCTTCTTCCGATCAAGTTCTGTGGATCAAATGATCGCCAAAAATCTCATAGGTATAAAGGGAGACATATTAGGTAGAAAATCTCCGAGCATGGTTGAGAAAATAAAATTCAAGCAAACACATTATGCCTTCCCCTTTGTTGTTGGCAAATTAATAATATCTGGATCTAAACCTGGCAGAATGACCTGGTCACGTCTCAAAGATAGAAATACCTAGAGTTGAAACTAAAATAACAGCAATTATTCAAACCTCATGTAACCTTCGGTCCCTTTATAATCCAAGCAAACAGGTGGCTGAGTATAATGTTTTCAGGCTTATGTCAAGAAATAATCAATCTATCTGGAGCAGGGCTCGATTTGAGATGTTAACCTAATTGCACCAGGTGCAACCTAAGATATAAACCCTAGTTGCACCAGCCAAATTCCAATGGCACTGCTTTTATTGCAATATGTAATAAAAGAAATATGCTATTGAATTATTTAGATGCTTTATTTAGAAGTTTACCCACTAAAAAGTTGACTTGCACCTGGTGCAAGTTAGACTAATAACTAGGTTGCACTTTGTAATATTGGACTGTACAAGTGTAAGTAACAAAGCTCTAATCAAGCCCTGTGGAGCTATGTATGAGCTCAGGTGACTGAGCAAGGGGAAAAGAGTTGGATAAAAGTTGGTTTTATGAAACATGAAAAGGGACAGATATACATGATATAGGATCAAGGTCAGATTTGCACATCAGAACATCACAAATTCAATTTTGTATCCGAAGAAAGGTGAAAAACTCTGACAACTTTCTACCTGCTGAGTGCAAAGATACAAGAATTTACAGACAAGCTTAACATGCCTATATTTTGTGGCACCAAAACAGCACGATTGTAATACTTGGGTCACACATTCTGCAGAAAATACTAGAGTGAGTGAGTGAAATGTTTTTTACGTCGCGTTAACAACATTCCAGCAACATCACGGCAGGGGACACCAGCAATGGGCTTCACACATTGTACCCATGCGGGAAATCGAACCCGGGTCTTCGTCGTGAGGAGAAAACGCGTTAACTGCTAGGCTACCCCGCCACCCCAGAAAATACTAGAACCAACTGAGAGGAAACAGCAATTCTCCACAAAGGCAAACATCATGATTTAACGAGTGTGGTTTTGTTATATGTCAAAATAAATAAATAAAACAATAAATAAAAAACAAGCCATAAATAATTTTTTTGCAACATAAACCATATGTGTTTTATCAAAAGCAAAAGGCCAAGAAAAGTTTAAGTCTCTGTGTCTGTACAAATCTGATCTTGGCTCCAGATGTTAATGTCCAGGGTTGAATTAGGAAGAGGTACATGATATTATAGGGGTTGTAATATTGATGGCCGATGATGGTAGAGATTCCTACCCTCAGGTGATCTTCCACATCTGCCAGAGATTGGTCAATCCAGTCGAGGACTCCTGACATCTTGCAGGCATTTTTAGTGATTAAAACAAGATGACTGACAGAGAGGACCAGGGCTGTGCATCTGCAATGAATTAACACAAACATATTTTACCATCCAAAAGAATTTTAGCATAAATTGCATGCTGCTAATGCCGATGATGGTTGTTTTTTGTTGTTTAACGCCACACTCAGCAACATTCCAACTATATGGCGGCGGTCTGTGAAAAATTGAATTTTGACCAGACAATCCAGTGATCAACATCATGAGCATTATCTCAGTGAGTGAGTGAGTTTAGTTTTTCTCCGCTTTTAGCAATATTCCAGCAATATCACGGCAGGGGACACCAGAAATGAGCTCCACACATTGTACCCATGTGGGGAATCAAATCTGGGTCTTCGGCGTGGTAAGCGAAGGCTTTAACCACTAGGCTACCCCCACCGCCCCTCCTGATTTGAGCTCCTTGGACACGTTACATTTTGCATGGTGGTGGTTTATCAGTTATGGTACTACATAGTTAACAAGAAGACATGGTCATCAATATCTCCCACCACAGTGTTCTGTTCCTATTTGGTTCCTGTATTTTAACTGCATCAAGGCATTCATGTCCTGAAAACACATAAAAACTTGGAAATGTTAACTATAAATTGTATATTTATATACTTATCCTATCTCACGACTTGCACCTCTCTCTCTTCATTCGACCATGAGTGGAAACGAATTAAACTTTGCTCCAGGCCTTCCTTGTCCCTGTCCCTGTGCTGTGCATGCCTTCCTGCCTTAGCCATGCTCACTAGGCCGTGACAGCACATGGCATGCGCAGTCCTCACCCACGTGATCACCTTCCATACTCATTCTCGATCTTGGAGCCATAAAAGGACAAAACCGGAACGGTGGTAATCTAAGTAGTGGGGAGGTAGGGTGGGACTTCATCGTGTGAGATAGGATAAGTATATATAAATATACAATTTATAGTTAAAATTTCCAAAGTTTTTAAACTTATCAAAACAATCTCATGACTTGCAGGCCCATATACCAAAGGTAGGAAGGTGGGTCATGAGATTAGCACAAGTGCTCCCAGGGACCGCGATAACAGCTGGTGTTCATTATACCTTCCAAAACAACGAGTGTAATCAGGAAGCAACATTTCCAAACCCCGTAATAAAAGTCTAACGACTAGTAGGCCCATAACTACACAAAGTTACTGAAAGGTGTGAGGGAAAACTCACAATTTTTAACGCTCAGTACCACAACATCCACTTGACTTACTAAGCACAAGTGCTGAACGCTACCAGGGACTCACTTCACCGGATTCTCCGTGGAGCAATGTGGGTGTTCAGTCACTACCTTCACAAAGTGAAAGGACGAGCTTGGTGTTCAGTGTAATCAGTCGCATTAGCGAGTGTAATCAGTCGCATTACCACGATTTCCAAGGTCTGACGAGCAGTATCGGGCCAGCCCCTGCTTAGAAACAACCCCCACAGATACCGTCCCGTGGAGGGTGAAAGGGTAATTGAAGTCCCAGAAGAATCGAAGACACAAATCAGAAATAAAATTCAGAATTTTATTCAGATTGTACACAAAGCAGAAACGATCGCAACTGGTGATCATATGCGCTGAAGCTGATGGTTGTCCCTGAGTGCCGAACAGGCGATAATGACAGTGCTCAATTCCAATTCATTGTGATGAAGGGCCCTTTCTCCTGATGACCACTGCTAGGCCACTTGATGGAGAAAGTGAGCGCCCCAGCTTGAAAGATGTGTCAACGAACAGGTGTTGAGTCAGTATGAAGGGCACCATAGAGACTCCAACACAAACATTCCACTTGTTGAGCCACCAACGAAAGACTGAATGTAGTTGTGCGGGAAGACGAATCAACTCCCTGGGGTTGTCGTCCCCGATATTATGGGCACAGAAACATCTGAAGAGGGTGAAGCCGCAGCTGGCCCCTGTAAGTCAGCGCTTGTGCCGACGTCAACCACCCTAGTAACTTCTGCCACTGGCGAAAAGGTGTGGGTTGGACCAGCACTAGTGGTGAGTTGCACTGAATCAAATGTCACGCCTCGACAATGCAGGTAGCTTGTTATCGGAATGGGTATCTGAGTAAAAAGCCACAGGGCCGCACATATGCCCATACAGCAGGACCCTCCATTGGTATCAATGACGCCCCTTGAAAGTAAATCGAAGATACTTCTGATAGTCTGGATGTATCCGGATGTGAAGGTAGGCGTCTCACAGGTCAAAGGGACTGACTGACTGAGTTTAGTTTTACACCGCTTTTAGCAATAATCCAGCAACATCACGGCGGGGGACACCAGAAATGGGCTTAACACATTGTGCCCATGTGGGGATCGAACCGGGGTCTTTGGCGTGACAAGCCAACGCTTTAACCACTAGGCTACCCCACGGCCCTCGCAGGTCGAGGGAAATGAGAGGTCTAACCACTCTTGCCTCTGACAAAAAGATATCTCCTGATATAAGAACGTTAGATAAAAGTCGAGCAACTACGTCAGTTCTGACGGAGTGCTCAATGTAGTATGTTCGGCGCATGGAGATTGTCAGTCAATCTACAGGAACGTTCACATTGTAAACGAATTGTAGAAATTCGTACGATCGGTGACCTCAGGAACGTTTCGGTTGGCCGAACAAAATAATGGTGCGCCAGGTGGAGTGATAAAGGTAGTAGATCGCTGCCTGGTGACAGTCCTTGCATAACTGCAGTGACCTCTGAACTCAGTGCTTGAACTAGTCAAACCGTTCACGGGTGTTTCTGTCTGTCACCCTCGATAAGCAGTCTCTCTCGACTGGCTGTCAAAATCCCGACACATTCACTCCTACCGGGAATGGCAGCGTTCATTGTTACTAGCATTTAAAGGCTGGACTTGGTATCCGATTCGTGGGACCAAGACAAGTCTGCAAGGGCACTTCATAGTCACTCTAATCATCAAAATTCCGGTAAACAAACAGTAGTCCGCCATTTGCAAACGTTACACACGAGAGTGACAAAAACGGACAACATGGTCTTCGGTTAACCGGGCGAGTCGCAACCCATAAATTCCAGGCTGAGCTATGATGGCTATTTGACAAAACATCACTGCTGGTACCATGCGAAAAAACTTCACCCATTTGTTATCTGTCCAGAAACTTGCTTATCATGTAAAACAAAGGGAGCTGAAGATGACGAACCATCTGCAACAATTGCACCCAGCGATACACAAACACGCTGTTACCAGTAGTCTGTAGTAACAAGACTCATCGGAGCGTCGTAAAGTATTCCTGGCTAGCAAGCGTATCTAGTTATGCCATATCGGGTGGTTGTAGAACTGATATCTACACCGAAGGGTAGAATCGTTGAACCGAATCATTCATCAAAGGTGAAGATCGGATGGTAGATTAAATCTGGAATGAGATGAGCCCCGGTCACGGAGGACTCTTGAGAACTGGGATCGTCAGACCGTCAAGTGCCGAGCGTGATATCTCTAGATGACTGCGCTACTGACATCACATGTAAATCAATTCGGCATGGTGAAGCACATAGCTACTACCTCTGTACAACCATCCGAAAAAGGGGTACACGGTGGGATAAGTTATGTGACTAATAACATTAAGCACCTCACAACCGTAAGGTAAACCGGATAAACAAATCAAATTGTCGAGCTTTACTTGCCACTTCGTAATGAGGAATTCAGCGCCTCACAGATCCTTCAAGTCCCGATCCTTCATGTTGAATGCAAACAATTGAACATCTGGTATCTTGCTCTAGGTAGCTGTAGGTGGTCGGCGAACCATGCGATCATGTTTGTCAAATCAACCAAAACCATTCCTGCCTCTTATAGGTGACTGGCGTAGCCCGAACCATGAAAACAAAGATGAGGTTCGATGTGGGTTAAGTGTCTTGGGAGGCATCCCAGACACATTTGGCATAGGCTCTGATAGGCTGGTAAGATGCGCCGTGTTGGAAATAACACGAGTGGTGAATCGCCCAATTCATGAATAAGCTCAATTGCTGGCAAGGTCCGAGGAACGGATTATTGATGAAAGCTGACAGTTTGATAAATGCTGACAATTCAGTGAACTTGAACGGCCAGGTGAACTGGTTCGACGATAAGGAGCTTTTCGGCCTGGTGAAACGGTACGAATCGGGCTGGTAAATCGGTTCAGGGTGGTGAACCGGAATGTTGACGTGATCTGATTCAGTCCGTGATCTGGATCAGCGTTATGATCTGGATCGTGACTGTGATCTGGATCGGTTCGGTAATCCGAAACGTTTAAATGATCTCAGCTGATGGAGAGATCTATCATGGAATAATAATTCATACGGAAATTCATTATTAATTATAACCACTACAAGCGATATAATAGGATGCAGATACTAGGAAAATATAATTATAGAATATTAGTTTCATCATGTATCAGTAATAGCTTAGAAAAAGACTCCAGTCAAAAGTAGTAAAACTCATCTCACAGACATACTATTGAAAAAGGTTAATGTCTAGACGATTTAATGAACTGCTTTGATAATGTAAACATGTCATCACCTCCATTAAAACATATTGTGCAAACACTTTAAATTAGGGTCATTAAGCCATCTATTGTAACACCATAACCACCCAAGCAACATGTCAGCACAATTAGTGCCAGTTAATTAGGAAGCTTCCAGGACATGTGTCAACACAATTAGTGCCAGTTGAAATAGGATTAGTAGGATTAAGTACTCTCCCTGTCTGGTCATTTCATTTGTAGGACACACCCATACCGCATATTCTGTATTTCATTGGTTAGTATAGGGAACACCCATTTTTGTATCATTCGACGAATCATAATCTTTTTATTGTTTCAATTTTAGATAAATAGTCACCAACTCCATTTGTTCGTCAGTAGGGTTTAGACTCCCAACACAGGTCAGCTCTAACCCTCAGCCCAGAGGGTTGTACCGACTCTCTGTGGCCACCCCATGTTATTTTTGTTCTTGTTAATAAAATTGTAGTTAGCTTCTTGTGACTTCGGACTCTTTTGCTGAGTTAATTCCCCCAAGCAGACCAGCACGCCAGTTAGATAAGGGGTTTCACCAGAACCCTCACTTGGACCAAAGACCCTTATCATAATAGATCTAGAACGCTCAGATGAACCAGTGAGGCGAGGTGAAATGTTCCGGCCGAGGTGAATCTTTTGGGTGCTGTGAATTGAATCGATGATGTGAACCGTTTCGGCGATAAGAAACAGTCTTAATATTATGGTGAACTGAGTCGATGTCGTAATCCACATATGCCGTGGCGAAACGGTTCGGTCTGGTGAATCCATTCGGTATGGTGAACCGATTCGGTGTGGTGTCGATGTAGATCGGATGTAGATCGGATGTGTGAGTCAGCTGGCAACACAGAGCGTTTTGATGAGGCGGAACCACGAGAAGACATCTAATGATGCGCCAATAAAATTATCACCGTCCGACATGGGAATCTCCGGATGACGAGCAGTTAATACCGGTCGTTAAAAGCGGGGTTTTTTCGGGTGAAGTGTAACGAGCTCTGTCTGCCAGCCAACGGGAGCAAGCATGTCTACATGCTCTAAAAACGTCCTTGATAAGGGAGCACATTCCCGACAACGTTTGCTCCAGGAACACAGGTCAATACAACCCACACATGACGAGTGGGGATCCGAGAAGTAAATATTGTTACAGTGTGCGCAAAATTACGCTACTTAGGGTCAACAGCAAGAAGCATGGTGTCTCAACCCGGCGCTGGATCAAGCGCAGGATTCCAAGACTCAGCAATAACCTATGACCGAGGCAAAGTAGAAGTGGCATGGAGTGAAGGTGAACGCCGATCCACTGAACCATAACGCAGCCTAGCAGGTGAAACCACCCGCACAGAACGATGTTAATGAGGGGAACTATCACGTAAAGGTGCTGACCGCAAGTGCTCACTAGCTCTAGACTGACAAGACGGGATATCCTGATTCACCTGAGGTGAATGAGACCGACTACGAGAATCACTCTGACGAAAACACCGTACGGCTAGGTGAACCAGATCGAAATGGCCAACCACTTCGATCAGGCGAGACTGAACGACTACGTGAATCAAAACGCTGTGGTGAATTGATTCGACTATGAGATGGTGAGTCGAACTGAAACCTATGTTTAGGTGAACTGAGTTGGGAATGTGAACCGGTTCGTCCTGGAAAATCCATTCGATCACGTGAATCAGTTCGGTCAGGTGAACCCATTCGATTACGTGAATCAGTTCGGTCAGGTGAACCCATTCGATTACGTGAATCAGTTCGGTCAGGTGAACCCATTCGATTACGTGAATCAGTTCGGTCAGGTGAACCCATTTGATTACGTGAATCAGTTCGGTCAGGTGAACCCATTCGATCACGGTCTGGTGAGCCGGCTCGGCTGAGTGAACTAGTTCGACCCTTGGCAATGACAAGGCTAGGTGAATGGTTCCGTTCTAGTGAACCAACACTGGCATTAGACCCAATTCTGATTGGTGAAATGAATCGAGGAGGTGAATCGGTTCGGACTGGTACATTGGAAGGACGAGAGCTCTAAAGCGTGAACGAGATCTAGAACGACACTTCCCAGCAGTAGAAGAACAAATTCGAACCTCCGAACCAGATGGTGACTCAACTCGTGTCGGTGAATAGTTTCGGTGGGATGAAACCGTACGAAGGGGAGAACGGTTATGTTCCAACCACGCCGATCCACACTTCGATGATGAATGCTTGGATTTAGAAGTTTTCGAGGACTGTGAACGGTCCGATGAAGTCGATCGCAGGTCTTGTGTAGAGGAAATATCAGTCATTACCACCCTTGCATGCCCATGAGAACTGGAGCTAGGCGAGGAAATCGTCCCAAACGCCTTTTAACATTCTCAGACAAATAGGAATCAGCCGAAGCGTCCATAAAATCTTCGTTAGGAGAGACGGGAGATTTAGAACGGCGAGCAGGTAGGGTGGGGCTGAAGGTGATCACGTGGGTGAGGACTGCGCATGCCATGTGCTGTCACGGCCTAGTGAGCATGGCTAAGGCAGGAAGGCATGCACAGCACAGGGACAGGGACAAGGAAGGCCTGGAGCAAAGTTTAATTCGTTTCCACTCATGGTCGAATGAAGAGAGAGAGGTGCAAGTCGTGAGATAGGATAAGTTTAAAAATACCAAATTTGGTCTCCCTATCTGTAATGTTTTTTTAGAAAATCTGTCCCCATCATCTCAGACAGACAGACGGACGGAAGGATGGACAGAACTCAAACCAATATCCCCCTTCCAGTTTGTGGTGGAGAATAATTAGGAGATAATCTGTTCCTAAACATTTAGCATCGTTCAACCAACTATAATCACTTCCAAAATGTAAACACAATAGGATTATCTCCATTCTACCATGACATATGCACCATGAATAAAACGAGTTTTAAATATGCACTGATTACCCTTGCGTAGTGTTTTGACACAACACGCAGTGAACCGCTCTCAGAAGTGATTATTGAAATTTTTCACTTCTAATTTTTTTGTAACAGCCAATCAAAAACAAACATACTTAAATGTCATGGCAGAATTATAATTTACTCACCTGACTAGCCATTCTCCAAATGTTCGTAGCCCTACAAACTTCTTAACCCCTTTCTTATCACATTGGCTACGATCAAAGTTAAGAATTCTTAGGGCTACGAACGTTTCGAGAATAAGGGCCCTGACCTCCAGTAACTGACTATCCAGATGATTGACAAAAACTTGACTCACCTGGCCTCCAGTAGTCGAGGGTCTAGAGGGGGGTACATGGATTTCACCACCTCATCAACTCTTGGACTTATTCTTTTGGCGATGGCAACAATATCGGTGAGAGTTTCCTGTGTCCTGATATTCTGAGCATTGCCCATGGTCATGCCAACGAGTTTCTCAGTCAGCTGGTGGCAAGTCTTCAGTATAGATATACAGTGAGGCACCAGTCCACTGAAAACAACACGAAAACAGGAAAAACTTCAATGAAGAACCTGCCTTAAAAGTAGTGGCTGAACAACACAGCAATACACTGTTGTATCATGTTGAGGCTCATTACACAATACATCGATTTACAACTCCAGTATTGCAATACATACTATTCACTTCAGGGCTCGAAAATTCCACTTGTTCGCTCGTATTGACGAGTAAAATTTGTTTCAGGCAAGTGAAAAACATAATTTGCTCGTCCTAGAGGACGAGTATGTTTTCTGACCTAACTATTTTTCAAAATGATAAGTTAGTTTTAACATCGTCATTCCCGATTATCAGTATTTTCAAATTCCCCGAAAACTAACCGCAAAGTTTAAGTCTTGAAGTTCGTTTGGTATCCTTTTCTAACAGTTTGGCTATAATTAATATCCTGATTGGCTATAATTAATAAACTGACCAATGAGAAAAATCTTCACAACATGATTGTTGTCGAATCAGCTAGAAAATTGGGAATTCCCTGCTTGTTATTACCGATCATAATCAACGTAACGATGTTTCGAGATAATAATTAAACAAATTGAATAAACTGACGAATAAAAATCAATAACAGTACTCATAAAAGTTGTCAAACTTACATTATAACTTACTATTTCCATCTTTCTTGTGCGATCGTGTAATGTAATTATTGATAATTCAAGTGACATCTCGGCTTTCGTTGCCTCGAACTTCGCGCGTGGACACAATGTTTAATGCTAAAATATATGCCTGAAGCATTTTTGTCACAGGTCATAGCCTAGCACAGCACGATACGTCCACTAAATTCCATAATATACGTATAGGTGGTGATGTTTTGCGTCACACGTTCAGAATACAGTCGTGCCCCGTTTATCCGAACACTTGTGTTTTTCTTGAAATTGTTCGGATAAACAAATTTTCGGATATCTGAACCGAGGACCATATGGAAAAAGACAGACAAACAAACGAACATAATAAGCCTCAGACGTATTCTTTATTGATTGATTGATCAAGAAATAACAAATACTGTAAACGATTATATTTCGCGCAGGTTTTATTTTCGCGCTTTTGAAGATAGAAATCTACGGGAATCTTAAAATGACTGATAGTAGCATAAAGAATCATACTTAACTGTCGCTGTAATGGATTTCCCAAAACATAATTAAATAATGAGCCAAATCCCATCGACGAATTAGCGAAAACAGCAATGTGTGTTGTGGCCGCAATGGAAATTGGTCACATGACAGATGGTTTGATACAAAACAGATTACCATGAAACGACTCGGAAAGAAATAATACAGCAGTATTTGATTTATTCATTAAGATTTTATTTACCAGTACATCATGAAGCGAATAGTCACTTAACACTCAATCATCTCATTCACAACAACCCGGCTTGTTTGAAATCACAAAGAGCTTCATATACAGTAGAAGTCAATTCGTCAGATCGTCAGATCGTCAGAATTCGGAACATAAGACTGATGTGTTTTTCATCTCTTCCGTGAGTAAACAACGGGGACGTCTAGCCTTGCCAATAACAATTGACAGGCCTCAAGATTAACTCAGTGTCACCTTGCTAATTAAGGGCAGTTAATCCTCTCACCCTTCAAAGAATGCCGGCTTGTAACCCTTGTTTCATGTTAGGGCACGCAAGGCCACTCGGTAAAATGCGCGGTGTAAACATACTGACAGGTGCTCAGCCATCCGGATATACGAGAAAAAAATGCATATGATTTAGCATTTGGTATGTGAAAATGACCATTCGGTTACGGAAACCGGATTTCGGTTAAGTGAGTAGTTTTACAACATTGCGAATTCGTTTTAATGAATTTTCGTTCGGAAGGCGAGTTTTCCGGATATCTGAGGTTCGGATAAACGGGCACGACTGTAGCATGATTTTACCCAAAACGTTCGTCTGACGTTAAAAGTTTTCGTTTACGAGGACAGTGTCCATTGTTGCAATATGATTAGCTGCCTTAGGTCACATGCATAATTTTGTCCAATCATGATCCTCATAGCAGACTGCGACAGAAAAGGGTCATTAGAAACCAATCTTTATCCAATAAAATCGCTTCTTACAACTGTGAAATACTCTTGGCAAGGGTATAGTGATAGTGTTGATGTTCAGAGCTTTCGAACAATACCCACCATCAAACGAATTGCCTCACGTTATTCGTACTAAGCTTCCAAAACAGCTGACTGACTGACTGATTTTGGTTTTACGCCGCTTTTAGCAATATTCCAGCAACATCACGGTGGGGACACCAGAAATGGGCTTCACACATTGTACCCATGTGGGGATTCGAACCCGTGTCTTCGGCCTGACGAGCCAACGCTTTAACCATTAGGCTACCCCACAGCCCCCTTCCAAAACAGAGGTGTTTAATGCTGTTGTATCATGTTACCGAGCAGAAAGCTACTGATATCGGGAAATAGACGACCATACATATTATTTGAGAAATCTTTTTTTAATAATTTTCCGATTACGTAAAATGAAAATTTAAAAGAAAAGGTAAGGGGATATTATGACATTTTACAAATGGAAAAAAATCGCCGCATTTTTTGCTTCCTTCGTGGTTTATCTGGACATTATAAATGTCTAAGCATGCATTTTCATTAAATATTAACTTATTTACATTGTAGTCCTATTATTTGAACAATATGATAAAATATATATTGCATATTTATAAACAGGAGGAATAGACCTTCCAAATGGTGTATGATATGTAGTAACAGTAATGATTTACAAGCTGATATTTTCCTTTATAAACACAGGCTTCATCTATGATCTCAGAGTCTCTGGGAACTCAGTGTCATGGCAGTCAATGCCTCTTGTTCACTGGCATTGAAAGAGTTAAACAGACGAGGTGGAAATTTTAATTTAATCTAATGTTTTAAAAATCCTGACATTTATCAAACGCTTTTGCCAAGTGTCATTGTTATCTTCAACAAGGTAAGATAGTTCGCTAATTCATGCTTTGTTGGGTTTACAATATCCATTACGTTGATTTGAACGCTAGTTTTCTCAAATATTTCCAATCTAACTGCGTATCGTCTTACAAAGCCAAGGGAAGTAACATTTTTCTTTTTCTTTGAAATTCAGCTATCTTAAATGGTGAACAAATTAGCAAACAAAGTAAGTAATGTTTGTTATAGATTTATTACAAGCAAACATTTTGAAATAAAATAATTTAAATTTACATTCATTATGTTGCATGATCTATAGGGCAAGTACAAGTTTAGAAGGACGAGTGGAAAGTTCATATTACTTGCCCTGCAGGGCGAGTGCAGATTTTTGAATTTTTCAAGCCCTGCACTTCATTACAAGTTATACTGATGTAAAACGTGAATAGTAACAGAAACTGACCAAGTAACAGCTTGATAATGGTGTTAGTACCTTCACCGAAACTTCGCCACTAATTGCAATATAGAAGTTGACTATCCATAAAACTTGGTTTCCCTTCACCTATACAACTTCTAAAATGCCTCGCAAAGATGTTTGTTTATTGTTTATTGTTGCACTTGGCAATATTTCAGCTATTTGACGGCAGTCTGTAAATAATCAAGTCAGAACCACACAATCAACAGCAATCAACAGCATGAGCATCAAGTTAACGAGCCTGACCATCCGATCCCATTAGTTGCCTCTTACGACAAGCATGGGTTATTGTGAAAATCAATTCTAACCCGGACCTTCACGGGCTTGTGACTACAAGGAGCTAAAGAGTATATGTGACTTACGTGGCATCATCCACCCATCGCTCATCCTTGAGGATCTCTTCTATCTTGGGGTTGGTTATCTGGACATCGTCCAGCTCCACGCCAGTCATTGTCTGTGGACCCGAGTCGGATGTGATGAGCTGCACATCAGGCCTGACAAAACAGGAGTATAAGGACTGTGATGCTTAACATAATTTTAACATAATATTTAAAGAAAATTATAAAAGGTATCATTGTTTGTCTGATGCACCTGCACATCCAATTTCATTAAAATCAGATCGTTCAGTCCAATAAAATCCTCTCATGTAAATTTGTGAGGACACTTTCACTAAATGTTGCACCAGCTGATGCATGAACTAATTTTGGTTGCGGAAGACAAATTTAACCTGGATATTTACAGGCCCTGAGTATGAATACAACGTTTGAGTGAATGACTATATTTATCATTCAGAGCTAAATGACGTGCAGCCACGTTCATCTATTAATACACTGTGACACATTCAGACACCCCTATCTAGGTATTTCGGGTTGTTAGACATTAGTTCTTCAAACAAGAAGACATTTCATTGATGCATTGAGCTTGAAAGTGAGTGAGTTGGGTTTTACGCTGCTTTTAGCAATATTCCAGCAATATCACAGTGGGGGACACCAGAAATGTACTTCACACATTGTTCAAGCCTTTGGTGTGACGCGTGAACGTTTTAACCACTAGGCCACCCCACCGACCCTGAACTTGAAAGTAGATCCTGCTGGGCGACCTCATTTGCATAATTATATGAAAGTGATATCAAGCTTATGGGACCAATTCATCGCATCGATATCACTAGTCATTATATGATAAAATCTCTTAACATAATTGTCAAGGATCAGAAAATGTCAAAACACGTGGCATCTTACCTTGTGTCCTTGTGCTGAGCTGTGATGAGGTCCACCTTGCGACAATATCTCTGCCGGCATACAAATACTAGCGCCGCGAGAGAGGCAAGAAATATCGTGGCAAGAATACTGATAGCCACCACAACCACAATCTCCATGTTGCTACCACACGAAGGGTTGATCTGGGAATCTGAAACACATATGGGGTTTACCCAGTTTCAAATAACATCTCATTGGACATGTTTCCCATAAAATCGACTATCAAGTCTTTAACGTGCTGCACAAGTCGTGTTTGTAAACATAATAAACAAAGATTAAACAAAAACTACCTACAGAACAGACCCATATTTGTCATCAGGAGTGGAAATAACCCATTGCCCGACGCCCGAGTCCAGTGTTTTTTTCTGTCGAGGAAGCAAATTTGGATATCACACTGTACCGGTGTCCAGTTGACTTTCCAATATTAATTGTGTTGTTTATTTAAAAAATCAACAAGAAAACAGCCGGTATAGTGGAAAATTATCAGGGCAAGTGATTTTACATGTGCCACTGTACCGGAGTACACTAGCAATTTTAAAGTTATTTCCACTCCTGGTGATATGGGTCTATTTCATCTGAAACAATTTTTTTCAGTTTGGGCAGCCACAATACAATGTGAGGTTTTTGTACCACATAACAGCTCTTTTTGGGTTTTAATACCACTCATCCATATTCTAGCTATGTGGCGGTGGTCTCTAAATAAACAGACAATCCAGTGATCAACAGCATGAGCATCGTTCTATGCAATTGTGATACAATGGCATGTGTCAACCAAGTCAGTGAGCCTGACCACCCGATCCCGTTAGTTACCTCTTATGACAAGCATGGGTTGCTGAAGACCAATTCTAATACAAACTTCTACTTTGTACAAATAACTTCATACAACTAACAGTATCTAATTCAAAACCGTCATGAAGCAAGTTTAAATAGTTATTTATTTCTCTATATATTTTCAGAGACTAAGTGGAAGTCTGTGTTTCCCCTAGAATGCCCAGTACAACCTAGTTTAGCCCTGCGCCCTTGTCCCCTGGTGTCAATATAAACACATCCTGCTAACACAGGGTAAACAAGGTGCTTGTCTCACCTAATTATACGTCTTCATTCTGTCCAGGAGCACCTGCTCACAATCACATCTTCCAAGTCCAGAGGGGCCTGAAAAAGTGTCCCATGTAAGAAGAGTAATAATAATGTGTCCATTTATATAGCACCAAACTCCACACTAGGTACGCTCATAGCACTAACAATCGATAAAGCATTATTGAAGTCCATTGAACTTTTTGTAGAGAAAGGTTTTGAGGAGATTTAAAGTTTTCACGGGTTGGAGACAGCATAAGTTCATCAGGGAGAGAATTCCAATTGACCGATGCCATGTTCTGGTAAGACTTGTGGCCAAATGATTTGAGGTTCCACTTTGGAGGATTACTAATGGCATGGTAACAGCAGGGCTCCAGATAAGGGCCATATCGCCGTAGGTACGGATAAAAAATATACACAATACGGTAGGAAATAATTTAGAAAACATAGCAGATACGCACCACAGCAATTGTGTACGGTCTTAAAATCATTTACAGATATATTTATCTGAAAAAGTATTGTTTAATTGTTTATTGACCGTTTACACCAGAATAGCAATGCTGTCATGCATATATGAAACGAAGCACAAGTTTAATGATACACCATTAAATTCCATTCAGTACTCTAAATGTACTCTTATTGTTTTCCAGTACTCATATATTGAAAAAATAAGGAGTACGTACTCCTGATGTGGAAAAAGTATCTGGAGCCCTGGTAACAGTGTTATACAGACCTTGGTAAAATGGGTCAGTAAAGATGATATTGGTGCAGATATTTTGGAAATCTCAAAAACTGACCAATAGGACCCTGATCACGATGATCACTCAAAGCGACCTGATATCCATGTTATATACAAGATATGGATGGGTCAGAGTTGAGAGATGTGTATGTGAGTTGGGTCGGGCAGGGATTGGAATCAGAAGCAAGGTACGGGGCAAACATTAAGACTGAGATATGAAAGAATCAGGACAGGGTCTGTGAGTAAATTCAGCTTGGGTAAGGAATTACTCAAGTCTCATCATTACTGAAGTGAAAGGACATTCTTCATGTCTTCTGAGAAAAGAAATCTTTCAACTTATTTGCATCATCATGAAACTGACCACGATACTACTACTACGACACTATACTACTACTACTACTACTACTACTACTACTACTACTACTACTAAACATGTAATGAATATATATTTCTTTAAACATAAAACTCATTTGGACTTTGTATTTAAAATGCAGACTTGTGTATAAATGCATATATGGCTGAAATAATGCTGATGCAACGTAAAGCCAAACTCAGCTACTACTAACAATCAAAAAACTATCTCAGAGCTACAGATAACTTTTTGGGTCATTGAGTTATGTACTCGCTTGTGTTCATCTCAATTGGGTATCCTAATTTTCCTTTGAGTAACCAAATAAATTGTATCCACCTCACCTAAACTCAATTGGGTATTTTGCCATTTTCCATAAATTGTAAAAATATAATAAGTTTAAATGTTCGTTAACGTGCTTGTTACCCATGTTTGATCTGTAACATGAGAAACGATAAGAAATACTGCAAGTTGCCAAGTTCATGTGCTGAAATAGAGCCTCTCAGTATACCTTTGTTACTTTATCTATCCACCGGTACGCAAGCTAAGATTTGACACTTGTGTGTGTACACATGCAAGATCAAATGTATTGAGTATTTACAAAAAAATCAAGTGTACTTGTACCCAACAGACTTAATACGAATTGAGTTTTCACATAAATATTTGTGTGATTTATGCAGATATACAGCTTATCTGTACCTCTGTACCTACTACTACTACTACTACTACTACTACTACTACTACTACTACTACTACTACTACTACTACTTCAAACAACCCAACTTAGTACAACATGTTAACAGGCTAAGACTGCCTCAAAGTGATAAAAATATGTATGCATGAGGCGTGTTGTGAAAAAAACAATTTTGACAAACTTCATAAACGTGTCTGTTTGGATCATCGGAATCTGAAGATCATCCCAACATTAAAGCAAACCAACACATCCCTCACCATAACAAAATCCACCAATACAACAATGACAACCATCTACCAACATGAATTCCTCCTCCAAGGGGTAAACCAAACACCATTTACAGAGTCCTGTTAAAAGCATGCCGTCAAAATATTTACATGTGTACCTTTAATACAGGGCTTGGTAATGCTACATCAGCATCTTCAACCACGTGATACTCGGTATTAAAGCTACGCGATTACAGTCGAAGTGCACCTACTTTGCATCTTGTGATGCTGACCATCGGCCTGTCACCACGGCCGTCAGGAACAAGACATTCCTCCGGCTAATTATAGAAGCAAACATTGGCCAACAATCGCAGGGCTGAGTGAGTGTCAAATAAAGCCTAATCCGGCCATGTTTGTTTTAGCATGGATAAAGCAAACAGTCAATATGCTTTCTCTCGCTCCCATTCAGCACGGTTTATGCTCAATAGTCTTTATAATGCGCCGACAAATTACTTTTTGCGACAACTCATTCTAAAAACTTGTAAATGTGGGACTTTAATCACTCTCTGGTGTTTATTCTGAAAAGTTATAGTGGAACATTTATTAAATAATATTTAAAATCAATTTCAATTCCATTTTAAATGTTTGTTAGTGCAAGCTCCAACACAACACGTGATGAAATGGATGGTGTTAGGAGACAAGCTTCCCACCATGCACCATTAACTAGTTATGAAGAGACAGTGTCAATTTGGAATTATTTTAGTAGAGTTTTTAATGTCATCACAGGGATATGCTTGGTTAGCGTTTGAGAATATAAATATCCGGTGAACATTTCACTCTTTATTGACACTGAATAGGCCTCACAAAATGTGGATATTGTCGATGCAATCATCAGGATGATGATAAAGTTTAATAATTGTCTGAGGGATTTGTAATGCTTCTGTGTGCAAATTGGTTGCCTTATCACAGCTGATATTGATGCCTGGAGTTGAGGCATTCTGTAACCATGGTAATGGGTAGATATGCCAAGAATAACCTAGCAACAACTACATATACAACATGCATTTTGGAAAAGAATAATGTAACCATGGTAAATCAGAGCTACAGATAACTTTTTGGGTCATTGAGTTGTGTACTCGCTTGTGTTCATCTCAATTGGGTATCCTGATTTTCCTTTGAGTAACCAAATAAATTATACTCTCCTCCCTCAAACTCAATTGGGTATTTTGCCATTTCCCATTATTTGTGAAAATAGAATAAAGATTAAATGTTGGTTTACATGTGTATTATTTATATTTGATCTGTATGAGAGAAAAGATAAGAAAGACTGCAAGTTGCCAAGTTCATGTGCTGAAATGGAACCTCACAACATACCTCAGTTATTTTAACTAACCTCTATCTGTAGCGCATGGGTCTGCTTACTTCAAATTCTGGTAGGTTTGCTGGATGCTACAGTACGCATGCTAAGATTTGACATTTTTATGTGTACGCATGTAAGATCAAACTTATCGAGTATTTACAAAAATTCAAGCGTACTTGTATGCAAGACATAATAGGAATTAAATTTTCACTTAAATATTTGCATAATTTACGCAGATACGAAGCTTATCTATACCTTTGTAAATGCTTCAGAAAGAATTATGCTCAAATAATCTGGAAATATTGATTGAAATTGTGACTAAAATTAATAAAATAGATTTAAATCGAGATATACTGCAAACATATATGTTTCAATTACATACTTCAGTATGCACTTGTTTAAATGATATTTCCAGTGTTATCGGACAGTTATGCGCTATTGGGAATGCCTTAATGATCCTAAAAGAACAATCATCAAAACTAACTGGGTGCATTAGCTGTTTTCCAAATGAATATCCTGCACCTAACAATGGGTTAGAATTGATCTTCAGTAACCCATGTTTGTCGTAAGAGACGACTAATGGGATTGGGTGGTCAGGCTCGCTGACTTGGTTGACATCGTATCCCAATTCGTAAATAGATGCTCATGATGTTGATCACTGTATTGTGTCCAGACTCGATAAATTACAAATTGCCGCAATATAGCTGTCACTAAGGATCTTGGTGCATATCTTGATGCTAGTTTGTCTTTGGAATCGCAAGTCAACCATCTTTATCAGAACTGCCACTATTGTCTGCGAACAATCAGCTCCATCAGAAACCTCATCACAACAGAATGTGCTCATTCTTTGGTTGATCCCTTATACTCTCTTGACTCGACTATTGTAACAGTCTGCACTTTGGCATCAGTTCAACTCAAATTCAGAAACCTCAAAACCTACAGAACTCAGCAGCTCGCATCGTCAGCCTCAAGTCCAAGAAAGATCATATCACACCTTCACTGATGCCTCTACACTGGTTGCCCGTCAAATTCCTGATTGACTTCAAAATTCTATGTATCACTTTCAAAGCTCTACATGGACAAACACTTGAATACCTTTCCAGTCTTCTGTGTCAGTACATCCCAACCCGACCATTACGATCCCAGAATCACCAGCTACTTGACTTTCCTAGAGTTCGACTCTCATCCTATGGAAAAGATCATTCCAACACGCAGCTGCCAGTCTCTGGAACAACTTGCCCACTCACATCAAGAATGCTGAATCTTTGGACACTTTTAAATCGTCTCTAAAAACCCACTTTTTTCGTCTTGCCTATCATTAGACTTTCTATGTTCAGTTGTCTCTCTGTATATAGTCTTAACTATTTTTTTTCCTATTCTATTGTAGCGCCAAGAGCGGGTATTAGTACCTGGATGATAAATACCCACATTATTATTATTATTATTATTAATATTTCTGAGTGAGGAGTTAAACAACAAACAAATTAACAAACAGTACACAAGAAACTATGGTAACGCTCTCTGTGTCTTTGTTGTGTGTTCATGGATGAGGATGTCACCTTGACATTGATACATCCAGGCCTCCCAAGTTGCAACCAATTAAAAGCAGGGAGCTATGTTTTTAATACCTCTTAACTATGTGCCTCTGGCATACAAATTGGGAAAAGATATTTTATCCAAAATTGGCATTGTTATTGGAATCCTGAATAATGACACTCATATTTACCTAA